TTGGCCACCGGCCGGGGCTCCAGTTTCTCAGCCCTCTGTCCCTGCAAAGGACGCTAGCCCCCGGGCCACCTCGTGGCCGGGCTGAGGGCACTGCGTCTGGCCCACCCGCACTGGCTTTTTAAAGAGCCAGAGCCTGGGCGGACTGGACAGGACACCGCCGGTTCCCCGGGCGTCGAGCCCGGAGCTCTGCCCAGGCTGCTCCAGCTTGGGGCTGCTGCGGGGCGACGGCGGAGGGGGAGAGCCCATGGCAACGCAGCGCGCCCCGCACGCGCCCGGGCGGAGAATGCATGGCCAGCGGCTGTAACCTCTGCGAGGCCCTCTGTTCCCACAACTAAGATCCGCAGTTGCCCGCGCTCTAGAGCTGCAGGCCGGGCTCAGGTGGCTGTTGGCACAAGTGGGTCGTTTACACTTGGAAACGCACAGCAGCCAGTGTGGCGTCTGCGGGGGCAGGTGCAAGCCTGTGGTGATGACTCACCCACTGGCAGGGGGGCCTGGGTTGGCTTTCCAAAGGAACCCCATCTTGGAGCTCCCAGGCCAGTGCAATTTCGTGTCCTTTCATGCTTTCAACAGAGACAAGTTTTAGATTGTACGTTATTTTAAAAAACACTTGTAACATCTTTCCCACATATAGAAAATAAAGAGCCATCTAGTTCTCATATATTAGCCCCCTAGAGTCAATTACATTCGGCATTTTGACATACTCCTGATGTTCTGAGTAGCATTTTATGTTGGGGTTTGCCGGAGGTAATCCCTTGCAACTGTATATGCTGTCTCTTCACTTAAGATATTGTAAGTTTCCGCCCATTTCATTGTTCTTTTATATATTCTTTCATATATTTTAATGGTTGCATAAATATGCAAATAGATTACAAATTGTTTCTATATCCGTAGAAATTAATGTTTCATTGTATATGATCAGTATCAAACTTGGAGGTGGAAACAAAGACCCCTACTCAAACCCAGCCTGATACCCACCAGCATGTATTTGAAAATCACTCCGGCCACACACACACAGCTCTGGGAAAAAGATCACATGAAATGATCGGTCATGATGACCAGTCTCTGGAAATTGTTATTATTACTAGTTTCCAAGGAATGTTATTATCCTCAACAACTGTCTGGTTTCTAAAAATTGTTATGGGTAACCCTGCTCCCGAGAGTCATCACCACCCAAGTTGTGAAAATAAGTCACTCTGTCCCCAAGCTGTCCCATGGCCTTGCAAGTGTAAAAACCAAAATATCATTCCAAACCCCTGGTGGGCAAAATTGTAAGTTCAGTTCTTAACCAATCAGTAAATGACTCATATATGTTATAGCCAATCAATGTTGTCACACTCCTTCCTAATGACCAAAAAGATACAAAAACTGCTTTCTTTAGAAACTTGGGGTCAACTCTTCTCAGAGAAAGACCCCAACATGTTGGAATAAAATCTTTTGCTTTTTCGAACTTGCGTCCTGCGAGTGACTCTGTGGGGTGCATCTCCCAAAGTTGGACTCACCTTTTGGGCCCAAAAGGAACAGATGGTCAAAGACGAGGTATATATTTTTAAATGCTCTTCCAAGACTTATTAGTTATCCCTGAGAAGTAACCATTTTTCCATTTCCTTGACAACATGGGCTATTTTCCCAAATTTAATTAAAATTGGTTTTTGTTTCTTGGATTGCTGGTTTGCTGAATTGTTTCTTCCAGGTGATTTTTTTTAACAAGTTTATGCTATGACTTTTGAGAATTTGTCCTTTGTTTCAAGGTTGGGAAGTTAGTTTTGTTGTTTTGGGGTTCATGCTTACAGTGTTAATCTGTCATGTATGTGGAAGATGTTTTCCCTTGGACTGTTCCTTTGGCTGGGATGTGGGAATCAGCTCTCACTGTGTAGCCCACAGTGGCCTTAAACCCAAACCTGGGATTACAGGCATGCCCACCACACTCAGAAACTCTGATTTCTGAAGTGAGAAAATTTTAGTTGCATATGCTAAAACCTGCCCATCCTTTTCTTTCTGGTGTTTGCCTTTAGATTTGTGCTTGGAACATTACCTCCTCTATCCCCAGTTACTCTCTGTTTATAGTTTGATTGCAGAAAGTGAGTTTTAAGACCTCAGTTTCAGTATTCCCTATAGCAATTCTGTCTTGTTTTAATTTGATTTTCAAAACTTGTCCAGAACACTCCTCTGTTTTTCCACATGAACTTTAGAACTTGTCAATATTTGAACCCCTGTTTGTGTTGGGTGAGAACAGAGATGTGGACACGCCGTGGAATACATACACTATTTGGGTCACACTTTGTGGAGTCACTGATATGTGGGCTTTCACGGATGGTAGAGCTTCCCTCTCAGCAAACTGGAAGGAGCATCTGTGGAGCAGATGTCCAGCACAGTGGTTGCAGAAGACTATGCAGTAAGACCCTCTTTTTTGAGTTCCACCTGAATGTTTTATAGGAAAGCTTAAACCCTCAGGGGACTTAATTTGTGTCCGGTATGGTGATAAACCCCTCTCATTGCTGGGCAGTGATGGTACACATCTTTAATCCCAGCACTCCAGAGACAGAAGAAGCAGATCTCTGTGAGTTCCAGGTCAGCCTAATCTACCTAGTGAGTTCCAAGACAACCAGGGCTACACAGAGAAACCCTGTCTCCAAAAACAAAACAAACACCCTGTCATACACATCTCTTCATCCTTTCAACAGTCCTTTGAAACAGACTCTGTGGTCCTCATTTTACAAATGACACAACTGGGCCTTGGAGATGTTAGAAGGCTGACTGGGGGCCAGACTGCTGCATGGTGGGCGATGGAAACAGGAGCAGCACTGCCCAGCCTCACCCTTAACCACTGCAGTTTTAGGGGTTGCAGGGAGGGAGCCCCGCATGCTGGACCCAGAGTAAATGTGAAATGCAAAATGCTGATGAGTGTGCAGATCTGATGCCTCAAGATCAGGAGAGCTGATTACTGCATTTTTGCAAGAGCCCCTCAAGCAGAATTCTTACACTCAAAGAGACTCCTTTGTCACGTCTGTGATCAGCCCCTCTCCTTTCTTAAACAAGGCCCTAAACCAGTTCTCAACCTGTGGATCTCAACCCCTATGAGGGTCACATATCAGATATTTACATTATGATTCATAACAGTAGGAAAATTACAGTTGTGAAGTAGCCATGAAATAATTTTATGGTTTGGGGGTCATGACAACATGAACTGTACTGAAGGATTACAGCATTAGGAAGAACCACAGCCCTAAACCATTCCTTTTCTTCCCACCCCTGAAGGAAATGCCTTGCCCTCCCCACCAACACCACTCAGAAGATACTACCTGTACTTTTTTCTCAATAAAAGAAACAGAATGCCAGCCTTGACTCCACAGGGGGAAGGAAATCGCAGGGCCTTGGGCAAGGATTCCTGAGCCTGTGTACTGATCAGAAATTGGGGCCTGTACAATGTCAGTTGTAGGAACACACAGTCCAGCAACCAGCCAAATTGCCAAGTGCTCTAGCCTAACGTAGAATATCCCAGCTTTCAACATGTTTACTGGAGCAGTATAGGGCCAGACCTGGCTAAGGGCCCACTGGAGGGCCCTTATTTTCTCTTCTTGAAGAACCTGGTCTTTGTTTTGAGTTACATGGCTAAATGGGTAAGCAGCTGGGGGATGAAAACTATGTCTTAGAGACCCTGTTGTCTGTCTGAAGATACCCATATACTATTTAGCAGCAGCCCCAAAGACTGCTGGGCAATACTAGCCCATAGATTCCATGAATATTTAATTACAGTGTGGAACATCTGAATTCAGTGTGAAGGCACTGAATCTCTTCATGACCCAGACAGAAGTGGTCCATGCTGTTTTTCCAGAATGAGAAAGGATGGCAAGAGGCTTTTTAACTGCAGTGAATCATTGGAAATACCTCTTGGGTTAGTTACCATAAAAATTTTAAGTTCTTCTCCAAAGCTACACAGAGAAACCCTATCTCGAAAAACCAAAAAAAAAAAAAAAAATTAAAGTTCTTGTTAGTGTGAAAACTTGGAGATGGAGGATTGGAAGAGGAGAAGGGAGAATTCACTGTAGTAGATTCCTCTAACTATTCCATAGTAACTGCTGCCTCTAACAATATGCTAGAGGCAGATTACAAGATCCCCAGAGCTGTTCCAGGAGAGAAAGCACAAGGCACATCCCACACAGACCTGGATAAAAGACAAGACACTGGGTTTAACATCCTACACAGCCCTGCTTTTTTGGTTCTCCCAGCAGGTGAACAAGAGAAAGCAGTGGGAGAGACACACTTTCAAATACGAAGGAATCCCAGACTGAGGACAATTGAGGAGTAGATACAGAAAGGCCCTCTGTCCTGCTTGGGCATCACGTACAGGACAGAAGATGCCTACCACCAGGGAAAGCAAAGGCACCTAGGACAGCTTGAGACCCTGGGAGGCCTGGAGATGGTACCAAAATTAAGCCACCAACAAGCTTTACGATGGCCTTGATGGCCTGCTGCAGCCCTTCACAAGGTGCCACCCCGAGAGGCTCAAAGCCCTTTCTTTACCTTGCCTGTTTGTGCTAGGGTATAG